CTGGCACCTACTACCATACCCCGTTCAAAGGCACTTAACTATTTTGTCTTGCCCATTCAACCTCTGAATACACAATCCATATCTCAATTGTCTCAAGGCTTAACAATTATTCTTTAACCTGTCTCCTCCCCTTCATCTACACTGATTGAAGTGGATTTAACAAGTGACATCAATAAGGGATCATAGCTTTCACCTGGATTCACCTGATCAGTCTATGTCATGGAAAGAGCAGGTGTTCCTAATGTTTTGTACATTCAGTGTATAATGGCTTAACTATAGCTGTTATTTAAACCTTGTCATCTCTATCAGCAGTTTTTGTAGCCAACATTCAGACCAGGCAACACATTAGATCAAAGTGGGTAAATAAATCGGCCAACTATAAAAAATAAAGACATCTGGTACAACAACTAAATGCAATGAAAAATCTAGCCTCTGCCAATGGGTATACAGTTACAGTGCAAATGCAGGCACACACACACAAATGTAAACACACACAATCACATGATGTGAAATCGACATCAACATACAGTGCCCCATTCATGAGTCATTTAGAGCAGATTAGCATGTTACAATATAGGTTACCTTTTTCAGAAAAACTATATTGAGGATGATTGGAAGTAATACAAATAAAAAATTCCAAGGGGTGTTTCACATTTTGTATTCACCAAATGAGTTCACCATTGTAAGAATGTAAACCAGAAAAGACAACATGACATAAACAGACCAAATACACAAACATTCAACGAGATTAATTATGGCATAGGTATAACCTGAGTATTCCCTTATCAATTTCAAATCTGCAATGTTGGCAAGGCTTATTTGTAAGACAGACATTTCATACAAAAATACAGAAAATAAAACAGAAACAGACTACAGGCAACAACAGGCAGTGACTATGGCCCCACACTGCAGTATGCGCCAGACAATGGAAGCAAAATGATGAGACAGCCATCTACTACAGTACAGTACATGAACCCACTTCTCTCTAAGTGAATATGACAAATTAATAACATAAATGTTTACTGGCAAGAAACACTTTATTCATAAAAGACCATATCAGACAAAGGGTCAACTAAAATGACATAAAAATATATTTGTGGGAGGAGTGCAACCATGAAAGGCTATTAAAGTGCATTAAAAAAAATTAACAAATAAACAAATGAAATAAGTAGACACTGCCGATAACCACTAGATCCATATAGCATCAGGTGCATTGTTGTAGGCGCATATAGTATATTACAGAGTATAAAAGCCAAGTTGACTTGACCTGTCCCTTCACAAACATCCCAACAGTAGTTTAGTTCTCACCCACATCTTTAAAACGTTGCTCCCTGTTTTATCATAGAACAAGAGTGGGGGTGACAGACTCACCAAATATGCACCAGAACATCTGCAAAGGTTATGACACCATATCATTCTTTTACTCACTAATTTATCCTCCCCTATAAAGGAATACTGTAATGGCCTTAAAACAAAAAGAAAGAATAATGCCCTAAACATTCATTTATCAGTCTAATGTAACATGATAAAAAAAAAAAAAACACACAGCATTGATGATGGGGTTATATCATATGTATTCACTTTCATGTGTATCTGTTGATTGTTGAATTGAGATTCATGACGCACAGTATTAAAAACAGATTTTGTGTTCAAATTGTCAACTATTCTCAGGTTTTCTTCATGAGCATTCAAGGCTTTATTTATAAAGCAACTTAAACGACTGAGGAAACAATATTACATTTTCTTGAAGAAAATAAAAACAGTGCAAATAGGTGCTGATTTTAATACCTTGACTTAAACAGGTTTATACAATAAAAACTAACCAATATACAGTATTCTGCTGTCTGATAGAAAATTGTATTTATTATATATTTAAAGGTACATTATATTCATTTGTATTTCAAACACTCATTAACTTAACAATACTTTAAATAAGGACTTGATAAAATAAAGTGCATAAAATAATTTGAAATAACAATATAAACTGTCTCCACAATATAACCTTGAACTAATAAATAAGATTAAAGATTTAAGCTATTATGATTGAGCATATTAATATTGCACATGGTGTTTGATGTGATTCTGTCCAGGTCAGTTAGCTACAGTTGAAGTCGGAAGTTTACATACACTTAGGTTAGAGTCATTAAAACTCGTTTTTCAACCACTCCACAAATTTCTTGTTAATAAACTATAGTTTTGGCAAGTCGGTTAGGACATCTACTTTGTGCATGACACAAGTAATTTTTCCAACAATTGTTTACAGAAAGATTATTTCACTTATAAATCACTGAATCACAATTCCAGTGGGTCAGAAGTTTACATACACTAAGTTGACTGTGCCTTTAAACAGCTTGGAAAATTCCAGAAAATGATGTCATGGCTTTAGAAGCTTCTGATAGGCTAATTGACATCATTTGAGTCAATTGGAGGTGTACCTGTGGATGTATTTCAAGGCCTACCTTCAAACTCAGTGCCTCTTTGCTTGACATCATGGGAAAATCAAAATAAATCAACCAAGACCTCAGAAAAATAATTGCAGACCTCCACAAGTCTGGTTCATCCTTGGGAGCAATTTCCAAACGCCTGAAGGTACCACGTTCATCTGTACAAACAATAGTACGCAAGTATAAACACCATGGGACATACCGCTCAGGAAGGAGACGCGTTCTGTCTCCTAGAGATGAATGTACTTTGGTGTGTAAAGTGCAAATCAATCCCAGAACAACAGCAAAGGACCTTGTGAAGATGCTGGAGGAAACAGGTACAAAAGTATCTATATCCACAGTAAAACAAGTCCTATGTCGACATAACCTGAAAGGCCGCTCAGCAAGGAAGAAGCCACTGCTCCAAAACCGCCATAAAAAAGCCAGACTACGGTTTGCAACTGCACATGGGGACAAAGATCGTACTTTTTGGAGAAATGTCCTCTGGTCTGATGAAACAAAAATAGAACTGTTTGGCTATAATGACCATTGTTAAGTTTGGAGGAAAAAGGGGGTTGCTTGCAAACCGACGAACACCATCCCAACCGTGAAGGACTGGGGTGGCAGCATCATGCTGTGGGGGTGCTTTGCTGCAGGAGGGACTGGTGCACTTCACAAAATAGATGGCATCATGAGGAAGGAAAATTATGTGGATATATTGAAGCAACATCTCAAGACATCAGTCAGGAAGTTAAAGCTTGGTCGCAAATGGGTCTTCCAAATGGACAATGACCCCAAGCATGCTTCCAAAGTTGTGGCAAAATGGCTTAAGGACAACAAAGTCAAGGTATTGGAGTAGCCATCATAAAGCCATGACCTCAATCCTGTAGAACATTTGTGGGCAGAACTGAAAAAGTGTGTGCAAGCAAGGAGGCCTACAAACCTGACTCAGTTATACCAGATCTGTCAGGAGGAATGGGCCAAAATTCACCCAACTTATTGTGGGAAGCTTGTGGAAGGCTACCCGAAACGTTTGACCCAAGTTAAACAATTTAAAGGCAATGCTACCAAATACTATTTGAGTGTATGTAAACTTCTGACCACTGGGAATGTGATGAAAGAAATAAAAGCTGAAATAAATCATTCTCCCTACTATTATTCTGACATTTCACATTCTTAAAATAAAGTGGTGATCCTAACTGACCTAAGACAGGGAATTGTTTATTAGGATTAAATATCAGGAATTGTGAAAAACTGAGTTTAAATGTATTTGGCTAAGGTGTATGTAAACTTCAGACTTCAACTGTATATAAAGCAAATTCATAGCCACACAATTGTCTTCCAAAGTTAAATTGAACGTATCTCATACACTACCTTTCTCTGCTTTCTATTCCATTCCCATGGTACACAGTCAAACAATCCAGAATCGTATCACTTTAACGCACATTTATTTTGGTTGCATAATGTTAATAACAAACCTTTTACAATATACTGTGGGATATAAGAATAAGGAATTTGTTAAACTTCAAATACTATTAGACCTCAGTTCGTGCAACATCATCACTATTCCCCTTTCTTTCAGGTCATCAGTAGAGTTCTTGAAGAAACTCAGAAAACAGAAAGATTTAGACTGATAAATAATTTGTCTCGAGATCTGGGACTGAATTTCTTATGTATGTCCATTTCACTTTTAAATAGTACCAATAATCTTTAAATAATCCTGCATAGAAAAATAAATAAATAATGTAGTTAAATGCACTACCAATTGACAGTTGACAGGGGTCATCAATCATATATTAGTGTTTTTTATTTATAACATTTTTTTTTATAGGTATAGTTGTTTTGTCTTCTGTTGTAATTTACAAACTGTCCCACAGATACAAATAATGTTGACCCACAAAATAAATCCAGTTACGCTTACATGGCAAGCAGCTGTTTTTCTTGGGCTTAAAAAAAAATCCCGACATGTGCCATACCCAAACATATCTAGAGGAACCACATTTCATTAAAACACTATTAACATGGCTCTTTACACACACAAGTAATGGAATCATTTCAAATCTGCTATTCGGTTTGTAAGTGCCTTTCCTTAGTGAAAACAAGACATCAGGGCCCCCAGCAGCGACCAGCAGTGATCTGTTTTAATCCAGGCAGATGGTAAGAGTCTGTAAATGGGGGATCCCAACAACGTTATATTCCCAGGAGAACTGCAAAGTCACAATTTCTGATAGTTATTTCATCCAAAATACTGATCGGATATTTCCACAAAAACACTGCGGAAGGGTCACTATGAATAACACTCAACATTGTTTCCATGACCCAATGATTTGGTTGAAGAAACAATAGCAGCAGACTACTACAATTGTCTCTTAAGGATGTATTGTGGTATGATGTGATATTCATACATGTTATAATGGCATCACCACATCAGGGGGAAAGTCTGTATTTGCAAGAGAGCCACTGATTCCCAAGAAATCTTGTTATCTGACTGGAGCCAGCTGTCCAGTTTATCCATTGGTCAGTAAGGTTTTCCACAAGGCACTTTTGTCATTGGGGGAAGGGGGGGAGATACATAGCCTACTTTTTACTCATTTGAGTCTGTTCCTCCAGAACCTGAAGGTAGTCAGGTGTACCTTGAAGTTTTGCTTTAAGTTCATAGTACTCATTTTTCCTTTGCTCCACTACTATCTTACTATGGTTTCCCCCTATTAGTGACTTTTTAATCTTTTTGTCATGTGGTTTCTCTGGGTAACGGATCTCAAACCCACTCACCCCTATACTGTTGAAATCCCCCCTTTTACTGTCTAAAAAGTTTTGAATAAACATGTTGGATTCTCTCGGCAAGAACTCATCCAGCTCGTCAATGGTGCTCAGTCTCTTATTTCGGGGGTCCAGTGAGTCATTGTCTTGGTCAGTGCTGTTGCGCAGGATTATTTTCTGTCTCTGGGAGTCAGCAAACTTAAAGCCTGACGCAGAGTCTCTAATCCCACAGGTGTGGCTTTTGCTCATATGCTCGATAGTTTGGGGGATGAACGTCTCCCCTCCCAGGTCATCCTTCTTGCTAGATTTGTTGTGTCTTCTGAGCGTGAGTTGCATGGAGCCACACTCCTGATTTCCCATGCCTTCCTGGCGTCCGGCTGGCTTCTTATTGCGCCTCAGCACGAACACCAAGAGGCAGAAAGCAACAAACACAGTGAGGATGAGCACAACCAGGATACTGAGGATCATGATGGATAGGGGAACTGGACCTGCCGGAGGGGCTTTGCCCACCCCTGCTGGGGACATGGAGGTCACTACCGGAATAGCACTGGTCAGGATGAAAGGGGACCTAGCTATGAGTTTGGGACATAGGATCTCATTTTTCAGCAGCCTTAACTCTATATTGGAAAACTGCACTGGGGATGCGCATTTGATCTCCTTCGCAGCCACTCCGTCATTCAGCTTCTCCAGCCAAAGTTTCAGAGCCACTAAATCACAGGAGCATTCCCAGGGATTGCCTTCCAGATCAATCTGAGTGAGAGACCTCAGCTGGTCTAGGACGCCACTCACAGGCAGAGTCATGAAATGGTTGTTCTTAAGATTTAGCCTAGCCAAGGAAACGCCAGCAAAGATATAGGCAGGGAGGCTCCTTAGCACATTATTGTTCAGATACAACAACTGCAGATTTGGCATGGAGTCAAAGGTCTCTGCTAACACCTCTTTTATGGCATTGTATTCCAAGTATAAGTACTGGAGGTTACTGAGCCCAAGGAACATCTCAGGATGCAGCTGCTCTAGTTGGTTCCCATTGAGATAAAGCCTACGGAGGTTGGTCAGATTTGCAAAGACACCTTTTTGAACTATGACTATTTGATTGCTGCCCAAATGTAATAAATCTAAACCCTCAAAGCCTTGGAAATCAACTGGACTGATATCTCGGATATAATTACCACTCATGTGCAGCTTCTTGGCATTTGGTGGCTTGGGAATGAGTTCTGCTAGATTGTGTATACTCCTCTCTTGGCAACTCACACCAATGCCAAAGTCTGAGGGGTGAGCTTTGCATGTGCAAGGCTGTGGGCAGGAGAGAGGTGGGGTTCTTGTTTGATAGGACATAATTGGAATATGTTTATTCAAACCAGGTAAACCAACAATCCCGTTACCATACATTTTAGATGGGTTTGTTGTTTTGGGAGCTTTTGTGGCTATGGGGGATATCGTAGTGGGTGCATTGTCAGATGTTGTTTCGCCATTATCTGGCTGTGAAGGGGGCATCCTTACGTCAAAGTCACTACCTGTTCCCATGGGACACAGTTCCGGTTTGTTTGTTTCTTTCAACAGGCGTCCATACAGGTCACTAGGGGTTTCACATATAGCCTCCCCAATAAAAATGTTATAGGGCATGTTCTCCAACCAAGCTTTCAAGGGTAACAAATCACAAGTGCAATTCCATGGGTTGTCATCAAGCTGCAATTCCACTATACGTCCAATATGTTCCAAAACTCCAAGATATGGTAGCTTCTGAATCCTGTTTCCTCTTATATCCAAATGTGTAAGGGAGGCAAAGCGAAAAATATTATCTGGAAGGATCTGGACGAGATTGTCATTCAGGATGAGAACTTTCAGCCTATGCAATTTGTTGAAGGATCCTTTTTCAATATACTTGATCAAATTGTAGTCAGCCTGGAGGTATTCCAAGTTTTCGATCCCATAGAAAGTGTCAGCTCGGAGCACTTTTAATTCATTGTTATTTAAGTGCAGCTGTTTCAATGAACTAAGGCCATAAAAGGCCCCTCCCTCGATGTTCTGTAGTTTGTTGTTTCCCAGTTGAAGAGAGACTGCGTGTGTGAAATTGAGAAAGGAATTGGGGTAAAGGATGATCAATAGGTTATTTTGGAAATTCAAATGATAGAGGCTAGAGACCGGGGGTAGCAGCTGGGTAGGTCTGTACACAGTTATTTTCTCACAGTTCACATAGAGGACATTCTCGATGGACATGCAAGAACAGGCACTGCAAGTCTCCGCTGAGAGGTCAGAATCCAAGTCAGAAAACGTACTCGATACGGAAAAGGCCAAAAGAACTAGAAGCAGCATTTTGCCTTTTATAAATCCCCCAGAAAAACATTTAGTAACCTTTGAGGGAGAAAAACAAACAAACAAACAATCAAAACACAAATTTGTACTATACATACAAACAGTATTTCATAAATGGGTAGGTAATAGCCTACTGCTGATGTTAGTAATGCTTTGTCTACACATCAGGCTACATGAATGTATGCAAATCAACACATTTCATAGCAATACAGCCACCAAGTACTATTGTAGCCTGAAAAATATTGTACATTCTCTCATATTATTAATAATAATAACCTAATAATAAACTAATAATAGTTGCCCAATCATAACAGCTTTATAATCATAAATAAATCATTTTATATAGCAAGTGGGCCAATTTTGTGGGCATATACCAGGTTATTCAACAAAAAGAGAAGAAAATATATAGGCTACTGCACCCTATTGTGGGCTAAAACATCCCATGAAGCCTGTGCCCCAGGCGGATCAAACCATAATATAATAAAACATATTAACAATGTAAAGAATGGATATTAAAGCTTTCTAACCACTGTATAGAAAATTACCGAGGTCTTACCTTAAGCGTTTGTAAAGGTGGTTTCTTGAGAGACGGACATTGGCAGGGCATTGAGACGCGTTGCTCCCATTCAGACGTCGGTATCGCAGTGAGCCCAGATTTCAGTCTAAGCATCTCTTCTTGACAGGCTCCACTTGTTTAAAACATTATTTCTCTCGTTCATCCCCACGGTTGTTGTATATCCATGAAGCATTTCAGTTCGGAATGAACTAAAGACAAGGTGCCCACCTCTGCGTGAAGACAGCAGGGACTGAAGGCGAGCAGCTGAAGTGACTGCAAAACAACTTCAGCATTCTCTCCAGTTCATGAGAGAGGAGAAGGAAACGAATTGTGCTGCTCCAACACCCCCAGTCCATAGAGATGCTCGCTCAAGTTGGACTGAACAGTTCAGGCAAAAACGAAACAGCAGTAGGCTACCCACTCGATTAACCGAAACAATCATGCGCGGGTTTACTCACCTCCAAAAATATTAAATCGCGTATTTTTTCGAATCATGCAGTTCACAGAGCTACCTACCAGTGATGTCTGAGGCTCAGTCAGTCTTTACTCCAAGGAAAAGAAAAGGAGGGGAAAAAACACCACACTGTGATATTCAGAAAAAAAAAGAGAACAGCGACTGTCGCGGAAAATGAATCATTCAGCTTAAGTCAGATGCGGGCAATCTTCCACCAAATCAAGAAACTGCATTAAAATAAACTACTGTTAAAACAGTCATCAGGGATCCGGGTACGTGGGTAGGAGGGTGTGTGGATCTTATAATAGCCACTATCCCTGCCTGTGTCATAGGTATGCTGCTTTACAGCTGCATTGAGCTTCCCACACGAGTTGTGGGAGGAGAGAATGCAGAGATGCTGAGAGAATGGGGGTGGAGGGGAGGGGGTGAAGAGAGATGCAGGGAGAGAGAGCGAGAGATGGGTGAGGAGAGGGGGTCTCATAGACCAAACGGAGAACTGCAGACCTTGAAACGAAACATTTTAGTTTTCAGACAACAGGTGAGCACTTCCGCACTCCCTCATGTGACACCAAGAATATACACCACTCAATGGTAGCCTAGACTTCACCTGTTTGTTCAAATAGACAATGTGAATAGCTCTAAATGTGTGAAAAGCAAAGAGCTCTCCTATATTTTAATGGCACAGTGACAAAGCACTAAAAGCTTTCATTTTTTTTAGAATATGAGGAGAAACAATAAATGCAGAAACAGTTGGAAAATTCTGAATGACAGTGACAGTGAAAGTAGGCTATTGTAAAAAAAAAATAGAAATGTAAATGTATACTATTTTTTCCCACCCCTTTAGTTTTGACATGAGGACATGTGTTATGGGTTGTGCGAGCGAGTGAACCCAAGTCATGGGCAGGATGATACTGTATGGTTGGAGTTGTTTCTCACACATGCTGAAATAAAAGGTAGCGCCCTCATCTGGTTGAAAGCAATTTTCACCTACTTTACAAACTTGGTCAGAGAGGAAGAGGCGACGCAAGAGGGTCGACCCCCCGCCCAAAATCTGTCTGCGCAGATTAAGGATGGGGGTAATGAGAGAGTGTAGAATTTGTTAAAGATAAAAGTGAATTGCTATTTTGATAGGTGAGGCTTATTTGATTGAATATAAGTTTCATATGGCTTAGGTTGTTACGAGTGTATTGATATGTTTTCTACAAAAGATAATTGGCTAGAATGTTCCCACCTGATCTCGCCTCCTCCCGCCTGCCTTTCACCTTTGCGAACATATATGTCCGTTGTTAGATCGGTAAGTCGACCATCTTGTCAATATAATAGATCATCTTTTGCCTGGTAGCAATAGGCTACAGTACAGCAGGGCCGTGCACAGACCTTTGGTGGGGCAGGTGCCCCCTAAAATTATTTAGCCAAATTATTACCAACATTATTTTTTTAACATAGCCATAGTTGGTTATTTTCTACACAAAACAATTGAGTTAAGACGTCTCAATACAAACAAATGCTATCATCAGTGCCAACTCCAACTTCTCCAATCCGCCGGCAGGGCGAAGCCCCCGCCGGCAGGGCGAAGCCCCCGCCGGCAGGACGAAGCCCCCGCCGGCAGGGCGAAGCCCCCGCCCCCAGCCCAAAGGAATTTTTCAAGGACGGGAAGGACCAAGCCCCACTGGATAGCCCAAGCTGGCATGCAAGCGAGCACACCCACAATCACCAGGGGCCTTATTTATAACGTTGAGTAAATTTCACACAAAGTTTCTGAGTACCATTTCTGAAAAGTCTGTGCACGTACAAAAACATTGAGATTTATAAACTTGGCGCATGCCATACATACGCATGTTTCTCGTTTTAAATCAGACCTGTTGTAAAACTGCACGCGTAAACAATCATTAAAACTCTGCCTGGAAAACACCTCCATTCAACTTTTATGGTGTGAGGTTTAAGCACTTTCCAATTCATAAATATGTGACTGATAGGTGGGCCAGAGCAATGTGTTGCAGGGTTCTAAGTTGGATATTACCCACCCTATTGCCTAGTAGGCACACTACAGGACACAGTGGGATATATACATTCAACATATAAACTACCTCAATCCAGAACAGACGCATTAGTGTACTGACCTCACCACAGCCACGTTAACACAAGTCTGAATGGCTTTGATCCATCCTTTTCTACGTGTGTGGTGTGATGTATGCCCTGTGTAAGATCTTCAGTTGAAAAATCATATATCTTACACAATTGGATATTGATGTTATATTTTTCCATATTGCATCCCATTGTGCTGTTGTGATAAATAGGCTACACCCATGTCCTGCTCCCAACGTAACTGAGTAGGGCTTTTGCTATTTGGGGAGGCCCACCAGCTTGTATAGGGCGAAAACCGTTCCTTTCCCAATAGCAACATCCCTCAGTTTGTTGTCTAAATCACTTTTAGATCCCACATCAATACCCTTTGAGGAAATACACTTCAGGCAAAACTATTAAATCAGCTCTTGGAACGGTATAATATCTCCTTCCCTTACAACCTGCCCCACCTGACTGATGTTTTGGCATTGCCAGGTAATATTAGCCAGTGTCTTTCCACCTGCGGGAAACAAGGGGTTCTTCCATATTGGACATGAAGGGAGGGATGCTCCATTGATAGATAACCTTTTATGAAGTATTCTTGCCATT